GAGCCCGCTTGCTCCGGGTTCGGCACCGCCGCCGGTGTGTGACCACCCCTCCCCACCTTGACTTTAAGTTGCTTGTCCCTTTCCCCCACGCTCCCCAAAACTTTTTACTGCCGTTTGCTCGCTTTCCTGCCGAGCGAGGCAACTCTAGAGTTTATACAAGGAACCCTGTGTTTTTGTTAAAGCTGCGATGAAAAGAGCTCTCTGATGTTTATTGTCTCCGGGCTGCGTTCCTCTCCCTGTACAGCAAACCCGCACTCGCCATCCTTCGCAGCTTTCTCTTGGCGCGAATGAATCAGTCCAGAGTCGGCTCCTTCACGTGGGGTTGCCTTTTTGAAGCGTATCGCTCTTCAAAGGAGCAAATCGACTGTTTGTGTAGTGGCCAAACACCCTTTCGGGAGCCTCTTTTGTGAAGGGACCTGTTTCTGTCTTTGTTGCAGCTCCTTGGTGAAGGGCTTCGTTTCCTTTTCAGTGGGAATTGGCAAGTGCCCGAGGGAGAGGATATCCAGTTTTCTTTCCGAGTTCCCCCTGGCAGGAAGGAGGTGTTTAGTAAGTTTAGGGCATAAAACAGCAGAAGAAAGATCGTGTACATCTGTGACAGCTAGAAGAGTAGTAACCTTGGCAGGGAAATGAGGGAGACTGAAAAGTGTATTGGCGGCGGATAGGGAACGTACAGGACTTCAGACAAACTGTGGTTCTGGTTGTCATTTCTGCTGACGGATGGTACTGTATTGCCCATCTTCTGCAGTTGGGAAGCATTGTGCATCCTCACATGCTTCACGGTCAGTACGTTAGAATGATCGCCATACACAGAAAAGTGAAGCACGCGAAATTCCCTAGAGCAAGTCTTTGTAGCAGTGCTTACGTTTCGTTTGTGTTTAGGTCCGTGGTGCATCCCTCTCCATTTACAGCATGTGGGCAGGTGCAGAGTCCCCTTTCAGCAGGGATGCTCTACTTACTTTGCCCATTTGGCATTCAGCATTGAAGCTGCTAATTTGCAGACCTTTGCCTGGAGGCTAAACCTTTGTTGTAATTGATTTTCTTAAAACCTTGCGGCTGTGCTTAGTGCATTATAACGCAGAGTAATCCCTGATGGGAGTGCCCACCTCTGTTGGGGATATAACACTAACCTGGCTCAATCTTAAGGAGTCTGTAAATGGATACAGAAAATACCACGAGATGAATCTCTACTTTTTCCACAAGGAGATGAATCTCTACTTTTTTTCTTTGTTTGGCTTTTTTATTTTTGTTGTTTGTACCAACCCTAGGGGCAAACTAAATAAACAGTATTGGGCAGATGTATCACTTGAGTGACCCACAGTTACTGAAAGGGGGTCCAGCCAGGTTTATTCTTTTATCCTTTTATATTATTCTTCTAATTGCTGTGAATGATGAAACAAAAAGGTACAAATCACCTCTCTGATCAGCTAGGCAATGCAGAAAAGCAGGGGGATAAATCTGCCTGAAGGGTTAACCTTGAAAATTGCAAGCACAATAGCCAGTCTGTGTTTCCTTTTGCTAACAAGAATGGAGACCTCCAGCTCCACGGTCCTAAAGCTTCTCTTTCACCATGCAGGGTTCAGTGGCTGGGGAAGAGGAATCTATTCTGAGCCCTCCATTCGCAGGCAAACACTCACATGAGTGAGTTTTCCCTGTGAAATGTGGTGGTTGGAAAGTCCGTTACAGGAGCGGGGAAGGAGCTTTTGCCTCAGTGACCACTGCAAGTTCCCATGACCGTTTTCTGGGGTCAGCAGCGGGCTGTGTGCAGGGTCTCTGGGACACGCTGGTAGTAACACGGGGAATGCTGTGTCGACCTGGCAAAGTGAACGGAAGTCCCTTGGCAGGCTTTGCCAACGGAATGTGTCTTTACGACGAGTGGGAGGGAGGCTCCGTTTGGAGAGAGCCAGTACTCTTGCTTTCGATCGAGTCACTGCTTGAGGGTGGGGGGGTATGTGTTTTTCGTGTTAAAAAAACTCCTCTGTCTTTATGGATTCTGGCTTGACAGCTCTGTAGTAAATCCCAATCTCTCCTTCAGGAATTGATTGATTTATGACAGTAAACTATGCTTGTCTTCTCCAAGCATGAAGAGAACAGCTTCAGACTGCATTGTGTGCAGATGAAATCTGGTAGTAATTCCTGTCATGGAAGTGGTGGTAAATGGTACCTGAGAGGGAGTTTTTTTCAGTGTGCTACCCTGCCAGGGACATTTTCCAGGCCTGCAGCCACGTAATCCCAAAGGAGGTCTGATAAGTGTAGTCTGCCCACTGGGGAGGGTAGCGTGAATGGAGAGGGATGAGACAGGAACTCTGAATACTGGCCCTACCACCATCCTGTGCTGGTGGGTGACCTTCAGCGTGTCACTGATGCAGGCCTTGGGACATGTGGGTCCTAAACTGCCAGCAGCAATGTCTGCTAGCATCTGCCTGCAAGCAGTTATAAACATTTGCTGGCTTATGAAATAGTAGTTCTTTCTTCTTTGTAATGGCTTTCTTCTGAGTCGAAGTTGGTTTCAGTAGCAGCAGTCATCTTGGGGAGTGGGAACCAAAGCTGGTTAGGACTGTAGAGCCAATGTGAGAGAAACATTGGTGTTAGGGGTGTGTTTCGCTCAGAACTGCACATCAGTGAAGGATCACGTTTAAGGCAGCTGTGGGTTTCCCTAGTGCCCTGACAGAAGACAGAGCCTTTTAAACAGAGTAAAATCAGCAAAGGCTGTACTGACAGTGGAGGTGTATAAACCATGAGGGTATGATCACAAAGGAGCATGCTTTGACATGAAATGCAATAGGATACTTCTTAGAGGTTTTGATGAGGGAATTCTAATCTCCGTCCAAGGTACTTCTGCCTGGCACTTAGAGTAGTAGGTACCATATATTTGATACGGAGTGAACTGGGCCAAATAGACGTGGACAAAATGTGTTTCATGGAAATCGGGGGGGGGGGGAAACCCAAACCCAAACAAACAAAAACCAAACCAACAGCTTACAGTAGTGTTTTGCTGGAAAATGTCACCATCTGTAGTAAATCTGGAACCCTCTGGTGCTGTTTATAATTGTCTTTTTTTAGTAAGATGTTCTATGGCATATGGGTGTATAGCTTAGCTTTTGACTGGCAAAACTGTATCCTCAAAGTCAGATGGGCAGGGTCTGAGCAGGTTTAGTTGTCCTTTCTAGAAGAGGGTGGAGAGCCTGGTTTGTCGTCGTATTCAGCATTGAATCTGCTGAACATCTTGTTAAGAAAGCCTCAGCTTCCCTGGAAAGGCTTCAGGGAAAGGACCGGTTTGTTCAGTGTTGTGAAATTCTTTAGCATACTGAGTGGGGCTGCAGCAATGACGAGGAAATATTTCCAGGAATGGAGGTGTGGTCTTTAAGTTATTCCCAACTCTTTCTGCTTGGGAGTGTAGTGGTGGTCAGGTGGAAAAATCTTGCTTTTACTTTAATGCATGTGCTTCTGGCATGTTGTGTTTTGTCATTTATTGTTTTGGGATCCAGACATCCAGAATAAATTCTGTTTTTCCTGTTCAGGTGTGACCTGTTCACCTGGACGCGTCCATCTGCATCTCTTCATCAAAACCAACAGCCTGCTTTCTGAAAGTATCTTTTATCAGTTGAACGTCAGCCTGTGCTCATAACAAAGCCACTGGGAGGCCTGAAATCCAAACTACTGTATTTGATATACTTTACAGATGTTTCTACGTGAATCATTGTAACTTCCCTTTGTTTTTTACTGTAGGCTGTTCTTTTTGGAGTGACTCTGTTACAGTTTCTACTGCATTTGTGCTTCATCTTTTTCCTGAATGCAAGTTATTGTAATGGCTGTGATTAACGCCTATCAACTGTGAATTTCGTATTTTTAAACTTCCAGAAAGAAAACCTTAGATAAAGCTGGTATTCCACCTTCATAGAGAGATTTTAAGAACAAGGTTAGCCTAAGCACTGAAAGCCGAAGATAGAGTTGGCTAAGTTCCACTTCCCTTAGCTCTTGACATCATTCATGTGTTTCTGCATCTCGGGCATTTTCTCTGCCCTTCCCATGTTGTGTATTTCAGGTAGTTGGCCAAAAGCTGCCACTTCCTTGATCCACGTATGGATCTGTATGCAAGCTGGAGGAATCAGTGGTGGAGGTCCACTCTGCTGTTGACTGTGCAGGCTCCCCTGAAACTTTTGAGGGTGAGGAGTTAAGGAGTGCAAAGAACAGGAGTAAAGGCCTTCAGCATGTGTGAGAAAGTGAGCTTGCTGCATTCAGAAACACACTGATGTTTAGAGATTCCTGCCTAGGTTATATCTGTAACGTTTGCTAGTAATTTGCTCAGACACCTAAACTGAGATGCATGTGAAATTGAAATGCTCATACCTAAAACTATGATCTCCCTCACTGTCACCCAGCCCTTTGGTCACTGGTGTCTAGAATCTGATAGCCAGATCTGCTAGGTGCCAGGAGCAGGCAGGTATGGTGCGTACCACCGTCTCGGCTTGAGTGTGAGCTGAGCATTTGCAGACTGGCTCTCCTTAGAGGAACACACACTGTAAAGTATCTGAATACAGCCTGGCAGCATGGAGTTCAAAGTAAAGCACAGCATTAACTGTCATTTCTAAGAGGGAAAAAAAACCCAAACCAAAACCCGACAAACTTCTGTTTAATAGCCTAGCAGGTAGCCTTGTTGCCCTCTGAATTGGGGACCAGAATTCAATCTGCTGTAGCTGTTGCCTGCACAAGAGTGCCCTGACTATGAGGTAGAGTTGAAGCTGGAAAGGAGGTAGGAGGAGTGAGCTCTACCCTTTCTGAAGTTGAGGGAGTCTTTACAGGTAACTTGGGATTCATGGAGCCACGGAGAAGATGAGAATATAATCAGGGAAGAGGACAGTCAGCTGGATTGCTTTTTTTCAGGAGTAACTTAAACATCAAATTAAACGAAATTCCCTACTATTTTGAATGTATGCTGTTGCTTATGTAGTGGCTTAAATTGCCCAAGTAAGATCAACCTCAAATCAGGCAGATGGGAACAAAGATTCATGAAGAACAGAGGGAAAATGGGAAACAATTTGTCTCAGCTAATGGACGTGACCTTCTCATTGAAGGCTAGGGCTGTCTGATTCTGGTAATTTTCATGGTGGCCCCATAGAGCAGAGAGCAATTTGTGTGAGTGATTCAGACTGAAAACGTTTTCTTATGCCCCTGCCCTTAACTCTCCCAAAAGGCATGTATGGAGGTAGCAGATATTCTAAAGGCTCTTAATAGTTTGTAGTCTGAAAAGATAAATCCTTGTAAACAAAAATAGAACAGAAATACTTGCAGGCATTGCATGTCTCGCAGGCTTTGGTTCTCCCATGATCACCTTCATAAAACGTTTTGAGACCAACTCACAAAAGACACTAGAGAAGAGCTGAATATTCACTGTTTATTCCAGCTTTCACTGGGGAAGGATTAGTGTTCCTCCAGTAACTTTTACATAACTGTCCTAATCTTCATACACTGTATTAAGCTAAATTCTCTGTATTTTTAATGGGTATCTTTATGCAAAGGATTTAAAAGTAGTGTAAGTGAATCTGCTTCTCTTTGAAAAGATGGAGATCTTTTGTATCTCTTGGAGCTGGTTGGGAAAGTCAGGTTTTTGCTATAATCTTAAAATAACATTCAGTAGTCTAGACAGAATTCAATATTAGCTGGCAGTCATTAGTTATTTTCTTCATAATAAAGGCTCTAAATATGAGTTAGCAGTGCCTTAAATACCTTTCTAGCATATAAATGATTTAAGGAGACATGACAGATTTTAAATGGGCACTGACATTCTCCTTGCACGTAGACGTGTCATACCTATGCTAAAGAATCTGGAGTAGAAAAGACCGGTAAAAAAAATGAAATAGCTTAAAAATGAGAGGAAACAGTGACAAAATAAGCTATTTGAAACAGATTTACCCAAGTAAGAGACTCTGGAAGGCAAAGTACCAAGCACCGCCAGGTTTTGCACTTTGGCAGCAGTCTTTTTCTTACCCGTGAAACTGATACTCTGAAATGAATTGTGAATGGTTAACCTAGTAGAATAACAGAAAGGGAGATGCAAAAAAGAATAAGTAGAAAGGTCAAAGGAAACATGAATAGCAAGATTTTGGAAGTCTTCCCAGTCCAGGGAAATTTGCTGCAAACTGCTTTAGCTACATGTAGTTCCGTTTTCTCCTGTAGTAAAACAACGTTGACACTTGCGTCCAAGGATGCTGGTACAGCTTAGAAGCATGGTGCTAGTATAATTTAGAAGCATTAATCGTTGTATTCGATATGTAAAATGTTGCTATCTTCCCTCTGCAGTGTAGATTTGGTTCGAATCAGCAGAGGAGGTTTAAGGCAGATGTTTGGAAAAAAGCTTTCTAGTAGTGGGATGGTGAAGTGCTAAAGCAGATGACCCAGGAGCGTTGTGGAGCAGGCTACATCAATGATTGACCTGTTTTTTTGAGTTGTAGACCCTTTCTACAAGTTTCCCCATGAGGACATACCCTTTACAGTCAGGTTGACCGACAACAAACTTGCTTTTTGAAGTCACTATCCCCTAAGCATCACAGTCCCTGAACCACAAAAACCACTGGTGCAGATTTTCTATGACTCAGTGCTTCCTTTGAAGCAATGGTAAGTAGGGGCAGAAGCTCCATTTAATGCCTGAGTAGCATCGCTGCAGCTGAGCTGCTCTGACTTGTGCAAGTGCATGAGTTTTGTTGAAGCAGAATTTGGCTTTAAATGACCTGTGAGTAATGCAGGATGCCTGTGTGAGAACTGATAGGAAACCTGGCTTTGTTTCTGCTTTAACCTGTATCATATTCCCCTGCGAGAGAGTTATAGTGAAGGAGCTCGAGATCCCATCTTTGGTAATAATAAATCAGAATTTTGAATAGAAATCTGCTTGAATCTCTCTGGGGCAAGCCTCAGTGGTAACCTGTGGCCTGACCAGTATAGATCACAAATGACACAGGGGTTGAAATGATAGAGGAGGAAGAAAAAACCTTACTGTGTGTGGCAGCCAGGTTTGCATTTGCTGAGAATCCCCAATAGAAGGGCACTAACATCATGCTGCAGAAACACTAGGATGGTTACTCCAGTCTGGAAGCCTTTTCGCTGTAGGAGTATAGCTGTGTTTCCCTCTGTCATTTGCCTTCATTCCCCTTGGGATTTTATATTTTGTTACTGGCTTGGTATCTTCCCTATCCATCAGTCTGGTGCATCTCATTAAGCGACTTTTCTTGATTTACTAATGAGATGCTATTTTTGGCAATGTTTTTATCACTGCCTTTTATTGCTCAGCTACTTATTCTGCATTTACATTTGTTATTCTTTAGTGGTTCCTCTATTGCTACTGTATTTGCTGTTACATGGCCATCACCTCACTGGGATTTCCTTGGTCAGTTGTTACTCCTCTCTCCTGTCATTTCTTTGCCTGGCTCTTTACATGTGTGGGAGTATGATGTTTGGCCCCCTTGCTCCCCCTCTTCATTCAGGTTGGTTCTACCATTTTACAGAGTCCTTTTCTCATCTTCTTCCATCTGGTACGTCACTCTCCTCCTATGCTTAAGACCCCCTTTCACATAAAAAGTAAATAGAGAACAAAAACATTTCCAGAGGGAGATTCATCCTGCCTTAAGATAGCTGTCTAGGCCAGGCAGGATGTATCGTGTCAGTGGGTTCCTGTCTCTCATTGTTAGCTCTAGAAGTCTAGCTAGGATGGACCAGATGCCTGACTTTGAGAGTTAAGTGTAAGTAAGAGGAATACCATTCATGTAAGCTACCAGGGCTTCAAATGCTGAGTATTAAGACAACATGTGCTACCACACATTAAAATGACAGATAGAAGAGTAGTTCAGGAAGCTGTTTGTAAGTTACAGGATTTTGGTAGTTGTTTAACCCACAGCAATAAAGCTATTTAGAATTAACATGTTTTCGAAACACCTTTTCGTGTCCCGGTGATTAGCAGCATCAAATTCCAGACACAAGCTGGCCTTTTAATCCAAATAATAGCTTTCTCCCCATCATACATAAATACAGAGTTAACACGTCAGTACGTTAACTGCAGTAATGCTATTTTCAGAAGATTAAAAGGAATGTTCCTACTTTCATCTGCCTTAGCATATCCTGAGGCTGTAAGGTATTTCAGAATTAGCATAAATATGGGTCTAGCTGTGCTCTCTCAGTTTTTACTTTAAGGGATTGCTGTATTCTTGACACCTGCTTATTTCATTCTCTAAAAATGTCACCTGTGAGAATAAAGAGAGTAACCCAAGGACAAAATAAAGAGCTCTGTAAAGGGCTGCTTATTTCCTTCTGGTGTGTAGTGGATTTACTGACTTAACTCATAGACGCTGAGATGGACACAAGTCTATAGTAATTAAAACTTCATGGGTCATTTCATGCTGGTTTCATGAGGTTAGTGAGACGCTTTTCACTGATGCGATTTTCCTCTGCTTTGTGTGTGGTAAAGTATTCATGTAAATCAGCGTGGTTCTGCTAAGCATAAATGCTGTGGCTGCTGTTGACCCAATTCAGGAGTCTCGTGTGATCTGGCTCATTCTGCAGTGCAGCTGCCCAAACCCTTACTGTGAGAAAAAAAGGAAGGGCATGAGCTTACCATGCATCAGCTGCTCTCCTGTAATTAGAGCTGTGCCCTTGTCTTGTGGCATTTCATGTTTACCATGGGTGCAGGCAGCTGGCACAGGGTACCTAAATGCTGTAAACCAGTACGCTAGTGATTTGTTCAGGTATCCACACCCTCTAGAGGTATTAACGGCAACACAAAAAGGTTAGTGGGCATCTGTGTTCATCCTGTGGTCAATACCCAAAAAGGGTTGGGTCTGTGTGGCTTGATTGTGCCCTTGGAAACCTGTTGGAAACTTGCATGTGTAGACAAGCCCAGCAGGATGATGTCCTGTGTCCATGTCTGGTGTGTTTGGATGTGAATATAAATATACTGTTAGGAAAAACTTGCGAAATGGATGTATCGTTAAAACCAGAGCTAACAGATCTTCATCAGAAGATTTGACTGATTTCCACATCCAAACAGTTAACCACTAACTCTGCATTTCCTAAATGGGAGAGATTGGAAAAATAAGCAGGAAGATCGGCTACAGACAAACATGTTTAACAATAATCTGTAGAGAGATTCATGGCAGTCTCTCATGGGCAATTGAATAGTCAGTGGTTTTGATAGAATCCTCATCACGAGAAATCTCTGTGTTGCCAATTGTACACGTGCCCTGTTCTTACGCAGTATGGACTGGCGCTGCGGAGTGAGATGCTTTCACTTGCTGCAACAGTTTTATTAGGGTGGAAGTGAGTAAATTCTGCTACTTTCTCATATACGCAAGGAACTGGAGGGAGAGGAGGCACATGCCTCTCTTCTGCGTGTATGTACATATTTGTGGATTTTTTACATACTTATTTTATACCTCCTCGATGTGGAAGTTCTCCCTGGAATCTGCTGATGTTTGTAGCTTAGAAATGTGAACCAGAGTGATGCGATGTCTTTGTTTTTTCTGGTGCATCTCCTGGGAGTCTAGATGATACGCGTGATAAATCTTTCACCTTGGCAGAAAGAGGGAAGTGTTTAATAGTTAACCGAGGTTGTCTTTTACTTCAATATCTATCGATAGGGGACTGCAGTTACAAATATGTAAAACTGTGTTTGTTTTTTCTAAGAGGAGTGCTTGGAAAGAGAAAGGCATAACCTTTCCCAAAGGAATAGGCCTCAACTGCAACAGAAGACGAAAGACTGTGTTAAAAATTGATCAAAATCAGCCCAGGTTACGCTGAAATAGATTAATACTTCCTTAAATAGGATCATACTTAAGCACAGTAGTAAAACAGTGGCTTTTGAATCAGTGTGGGTAAATTGTGCGAGTTGCTTTGTCCATGCACTTGTTTTTTCAAGTTCTCTTGCCAGACTGTCAGTGATTTTTCCCAGGAGGAGCAGCATGTCAGGGGTCCTGTCATGTTACCTCCTGTTTACTGATGAGAATGGTCTACTAACCAGTGAAGTGAATTCACTGGCTACCAGTCATGCATGCTTGTTGCTGGAGTAAATTTTAGTAGCTACAGATTTCTCTAGGTTAGATGAGGATCATGTTTCCAGAATTGCATTTAGTTACATTTATTCCACTGGGAATAGTTACCATTACTGATAGCAAGTGAGCAGAAGCATCCTGCCTGACCGGCTTGCTGTCCCTCTTGGAAACTTAGCAGAGCTTTTCAAGAGAAAATGTAGAAGTTTAAAAGGCTTTGCCCAAACCAGATCTTTTTTTGTGAGCCTTCAAGAGATCTGAGCTACATCTCTTGTACAAATCTGGTACTTTGCAGGTAGAGGAAGAGCTCTGTGTGTCACGATTTCTTGTACTCTGATTTTTTTACCAGTCTCAAACTAATTGTACTTGTTTTAATGAAGCCTTTAATGGATCTTTATTACATTATTCTGTCTTGCTGGGCTTGTACAGTACCCCAGCCACCTGTAGAAGTAAGCTTACTGCCAGAATGCTGTAGTCTTGCAGATAAAAAAGATGTGCTACACCTTTGAAAACCCAGATAAACAAGAAAAAAATACTGGGTTTTTTTTCATGGCTTTAAAAATTGTTGGTGTAAAAATACTAAGAATGGGATCGTGTCAGTAGAACTGAGGTGCCTGTGGGCTAGAGAGCTTGAAATTGCAGAGAAAATGAGTGGGCACATGCCGCTTCCAAGTACTTACTCTCTTGGGCTGATATCTGTAAGCTAGATTTGCTTTTAAATACCTAGTCTTGATGATTTATGTGTAGTGTTTCCACCCACACTGACAGAAAAGGCCTGCGAGGAAACGGTGCCCGCGGTGACTCTGTGCCTGCCTCTTGCAGATGCGTACGACCCGCAAAGTGTCCGTGTGGCCCGTGGGACTGGTAGGAGGACGGCGGTACGAGCGCCCGGTCGTGGAGAACGGCAAAGTGGTCGGCTGGTACACGGGCTGGAGAGCTGACAGGCCCTTTGCTATTGACATGGCAGGTGAGTCTTCCAGTGCCTAAAGGGGACCTACAGGAAATCTGGAAGAATGGCTGATTTACAAGGGCATGGAGTGACAAGGCAAGGGGGAATGGCTTTAAACTGAAGGAGGGTAGATTTAGATTAGACATTAGGAAGAAGTTCTTACCTGTGAGGGTGCTGAGGCACTGGCACAGGTTGCCCAGAGAAGCTGTGGCTGCCTCATCCCTGGCAGTGTTCAAGGCCAGGTTGGACACAGGGGCTTGGAGCAACCTGGTCTAGTGAAGGTGTCCCTTCCCGTGTCAGGGGGGTTGGAACTAGATGAGCTTTAAAATCCCTTCCAATCCAAACCATTCTGTGCTTTTGTGTGCTAAATCTCATGATACAATGTATTGTGTACAATAAATGTAAGAGGAACATTCATGTTTCTCCTTTGTTTTTCATGAGCGGGGCAGAAACTGATTTCTCAGTGTAAGCAGCTTTTAAAACTCTGAAGTGTGGCTGCTGTATGTAGCCCTTCACCACTGCAGATCTTGGAAGTCTCAGCTTGCACACCTCATCTAATTAAGTTGCTGTCTGGTAATAGCTGAACTTTCACTTGTTTTTAATTTTATGCAGCAACTTGGCTTTTATGTTGTCTAAAATTTTTGTCTTTAACAAGTTAATTAACTTGTGCAAGGAGCGCCTGCCCTTTCATTGTGTCATCATCAGTCAACACCAGGCAGCATGAATGCAGACCCTTCTTGGACCTCACGTTGTAAAATGCTACTTTATCATGAAATTACTTGGTTTTTATTGGTTATTTGGAATGACAGTGATAACTGTAGATAGATAGAGTTTGAAACACTGGGCTTAGGGGAAAAATACCACTAGTCGAGTAGATGAAGGTGGAAAAGCTTCAAAATGGATCTAATCAATCTTCTGTTGCGAAGTTAGTGCACCACATAGCTCTCTGGCCGTGCTGACACAATCTTTTGCATACATTCACATCTGCCGCATGAATCACCACTGTGCAGAAGTCCGATTCCTGATGTAGCAGCAGCTGGTTTCCCAGCAAATGATACAATATTTGCATGTAGGCATCTTCTCTATTCAGGATGGAGAGGGAAAGGGGAAAAGTAGGAATACAAGGGCAAAAGTGGGGTAGAAATAGCCATTTTCTTATTTCCTGATCCTGTTATGTTTTGGGAGAGGGAAAAGGACAGTGCTTTCTCATCTCAACAGAATATATGGATTGAAATGTTTGATGAAAAATACATACAGTATTTACAGTTCAATTGGTTAAAAAGAGTAAAGGAGAACTAATAGCTGTTAACACTTCAAAGGCAGAAACATCAACAGGGGATTTTTTCTGCACTGTAGAAACATTTCAAGTTAATAGTATCACCTGGCATGAAAATAAGTATTTGAGTGTTCAGGCAGAGGCATTCCTCAGGGGAATAGATATGTCAGTCCCCAAGCCTGTGCAGCCTGTCAAGGACTGCAGCTGTGTATTTGAACAGTCTCTGCCTGTGGATTTATGTACATATTGATACTATGCTGTACAAGTGGTTACTTCCGGGCATTATAAAGATGATAGCATGGTTCATAATTCATTAGCAGCAGGCAAAAACCCATTACACAACATTGGCCAAGGGACTCTAAACCAGACACAGAGAGATACATGGGAAGTCCTTAAGTTGTTTACAGTGTGCAGTTGCTGGCTGAAACACTGGCATGAGAGAAACACAGCTCCGTCAGGAGCATTGTCTGCTCGTACTTTTACCCAAGTCACGGAAGGGAGGGTTATAGAGACAAGGATACAGCCTTGAGAGTATAGGAAAGTGTTGCAGATCCACAAACAAGAAGTTACGGCTTTGTGAGGGAACCTTTATTAGTCTTCAGAAAAATAACTGAAGAAATTAAATGACACTTTTAATTTCAGCAAGGAGAGGAGGGGATGATGTGTAGGCTGGCAAAAAAGTATATTAAGTTCACACCTTCATTCTCCCCCAGGAATATGGCAGAAAACAAATAGAACCTGTAAGTCCAGAACTGCATCGGTGTGCAAACAGCTGCAGTGTACAGGATGCGTGTTAACACTCTGTTTGCCACCCTTGCCCCTCCCTTCCTGACTCCCCAACATACTCCTGGAGACTTGAAGGACTTGCTAACAAACATGAGTCTGTGCTGTAGTACATCAGTCAATCACTGACATTCCTTCATCTGCTGGTGCTAAACAGACAAGCAAGGTTATGCCATAGACTGCACACAAGGGAGATCAAGGATCAAGTACTTGATAGTACTGCGGTGGAAAAAAAAAGAAACAAAATAGGTGCACATATGAAACTGCTGAGCTGCCTACAGCTATTTGTCATTAATGTTCTGATGCCCAAGGCACTGGTAAAGAGGCTCCCTTTGGTTTACAGAACTTTGTTTTCATAGTGATTTTCACAGGGAGTTGATTGTTGGTCTGGGTGGGAAAAGAACAGCTGCTTAGAAGGTTTGGAAGCACCAATTTGCCTTGTGGCTGTTCAGTGGAAGTGCATCCTTGCTTTTAAGCACATAAACTTCTCATTCTAGACTTCAAAATAGAGAGCCAAATTCAACTCTACTGCAAATGGAGCCAGGTCCTGCCGATTTCATTGGGACCAGCTGGAAGAGCCTAGCTGGCCACTTCCCTAGATGATTCTTTGAAATACACTCACACAGGGCAATCACAGTAGATGGGTTCAGTAACCACTGGTTGACACTGCTGTTCCCCAGTGCTGAACTGTATTCTGAAAGCAGAGTAGTTGTTTCCTGTGTAGCTTCTTGTCTGGCAGCCAACACACCAGATGAATTAGCTCAGGTGTTTTTTTAAGTTCTGCCTCAGTCTTAACTGTAGGTGGGTTCTGAAGTTTGACACAGACTTCCTTACCCTCAGGGAAGAAAAGTGAGAGAGAACTGAGGGTTGGAAGCAAACGGTAACATTGATTCTGAGGTAGGCTGTTGTTTATTACGGACCCGATTTTAAATCTTCCATATTAAGTGATACTATTAGTGATTTACTTTTGGCTTGTTCCCAGTGCCAGTTTTTGGCCACCCATGAGAACAAGTTAGATCGTGATTCTCCTAATGCCAAGATGGTTCAAGGAAAACAGGTGCATGCTTTGCATTAGCATTCAGGAGCTACTCCAGTCACAGAGATTAACCCATGCCTGTGAATCACTGGGTAGGCAGATTTTGGACTTGTGGTCCAGAGCCCATCCCCTGTGCCCTAAATGCTTCTGCTAGGGCCTAGACATCCACCTTTTGGGGAGGATTTTGCTATACTTACGAGATCTTTAGTACCTCTCATCTTTCTTACAGTTCCCTGAGGAAAAAGCTGGTCTATTAATGACACTGTAAAGCATGGCATATTTTGTCTGAATCTAAAAGAGCCACTGGTGGAGGTCACACGTACAGACAAATTTGAGTGGTTATGGCAGACACTACTCTAAAAAAAAAAACCCTCCCAGTCACCCTTCCATCAAAGGGTAACAACTGGTTTAAATGTTGAGTTTAAAATCCAGAGCCTTTTCCGTGGTGAATGAACTGTCAGCAAACACCTTTGCTCTGGTTGAGCTGCTTTGCTTTACTGCAACCCAAAAAGTATGTCACAGGGAGCAGGTAACTTGAAAGAAGCAGACCCCAACCCATGGTGTGTTCAGCACACCAAGGGTAGTACTTTTGAACTGTGTGGAAACCAGTATATCCGTTTCAACATCAGCACTAAGCATTAGAATTTATACACTCTGGAAATGATAAACACTTTCTGTTTCTAGCTTGCCTTCAGCTACTGTCCTATCTAGAGCATTCGGGAAGCAAACACATTAATCACAGCAACAAAATCTTTAAAGACCAGCTCAGTCTAACGGGATAAGAAAAATGGTTCTGACTTTTAACAGAAGCCGTTGATCTAACACAAGTCAAGGTGTGAATTAACAGAAACAGCTTCTGCAGGAAGCAGCACAGATGTAATCTTTGCCATGTCTCCCAGGTATCCTGTCCTCCAACAAATTAATTCTTATCTAGGTGGCTCTTCAGCCAATTAGATTTAATTTACCGCCTCGCATAAAACACAAAAACCCCAAAACACTTCCTCATGCTCCAGCTGTAAAATTTTCCTATGGCATTTTTAAGCCCAGTATGACCTTGTAGGGATAATGATCAAGTGAAAGAATTGTATGTGTGAAATGCTGCTCAGTTATGCTACACTGGAGACAGTAATCCCAGATTAAGCCGTTTGGGGATAGAACTCAAAATAAGTGTCTTTTCATCTGTTACCACAGGATCATTATCTACTGAGATAAATTAGTGCCAGGCTGTCAAAACCTGCGCCATCTCCTCTTTTATTGATGCTAAAATTATCTGTCTGTGATAAAAAGTCACCTGAAAGTTGTTGCTGGAAAATGGTTTTACCTCAAGTCCATCTGAAGTGTGTCACCACAAATAAAAAATGTCATACATGTGAAATTAAAGCAGAGCTGAAGAACTAGGGAGCTGATGAGTTTCCTTGAATTATTTTATCTCTCCAGGTTACTGCTTTATTAGATTCTTCTAAGAAACTAAGACCACATGACCACTGATCAAGGAACCAAACCTCAGGCCACAGTCCAGTCAGTGCACAATAGTCCATGTCCTTGCCACATACAACACTCTGTTTAATAATCTGACTTCCATTTGATGCCTGAAAACATGGGGGACTTCTGACTGCACCCTAAAATGGTGGTTTGCAATAGGATGGTAGCAAGGGCACGTATTACATACAGGGATGGCGCAGCTGAAGATCTCTGCATAGCAGAAATCCACCCTTTTCGAACAGAACCCAGTTTCCTCAACAGAGGTATAAGCTTTGCAAGAAGTGAATCTAGGAGAAATTAATGCATGGATAAGTATGGGCTATAGGGGCCAGGGAGCCGCACTGAGACAGCAAAGATAAACAGCAGAAAATGCGTCTCTCTTCTGCTTAGACTGGGATTCCTTCACCACTCTGAAAACTAGGACTCTATACTAATTTTGGTGCTTATTTCATTTTCTTCTTGATGGATGACCAGCTTAAATCTTAAATTAAACTTTAAGTATTTTTAAAAAGAAACAGCAGCTCACACAACTGATCTGGGCTCCAACAATGCCTTCCCTTCCAAAGCAAATATATTTTTTGTGCCCAAAATATTAACCACACTAAAGCCCAGTTGCAAAATTTGTAACTTGTTCTAATTGAGGGAAAAACCAAACCCAAACCGTAACCAAAAATCCTGAACTGAACCAGGCCAATTTGTTCATCAGTAACAAGCCTATGGTCACCTCTCCAAGTGCAGACAGCTGGCTTTGTGCACTGCAGCTGTCTCTACCCAAGGGAGTTTAAACTCCCAACTTCAGCTCTTCACAAGCAATTACACTTGGCTACAAAGAGCACTGGGACGGAGCTCACCCTGTGCTCCCTCATAGCCAGGTTACGTGTTGTAAAGGCAAGAAAGGCCTGCAGCCTGCTAGGGAGAAACCCTCACCTGGGAAGCAAAGTCTGAAGTGCTGTTCTGCCTGGCACTGCTTGCCTCCACCCAGCAGCTGCAGCAGAGAATAGCTGGATCCCAGCACTGCTGCTGGCAGCTGGGGCAGTCTGCAGAGCTTAACCACGCAGGGCAAGGACAGGCTGCAGCCAAGCCTCATACCTTCTGCAGGTGTTTTCACCAGAGGACTCTGAGCTGTGGATAAGCCCTTTCCATCTAGACACCTGCTCTTCTTTAATCTTATACATTATATCCTGCCTAAGGTTAAATATGTTTTTTGCAACTGTGTCCGTCAGAGAATTGGGACCTCCGTTTACATCCAACCTTTTTCTAGTCTTCATCTGCCATCTCCAGATCTTTAAAAAAAAACCAAAAAACAAAACAAAAAAAACCAAACAAACAAACAAAAAAAAAACCAACAAAAACCCACCACTTTCTGGTGTCTTCCTGTGCTTTGCTACAAGCAAGCACATGACAAAAGTGGTTTCCCCGTGCCTTCTTTACATGTGATGTAGTTAAGTACTTCCGTATATTTTCCTCTTTAAAAGGTTCCCATAAAAGCCACAGAAAATACAGTAACAAGATAATTCTAGTAAAAAAGGGGACAGATTAATATTCCATTAGAGAAGGTTATGCTCATGTTTAAATTGAGAAAATTTTAATACTGGACTTAGAATTAAATGTTCTTGCAGTTTTCCAGAACAGATGTCAAAATTGTTACTACTTTTGTCATAAAGGGACAGCTGGAACCACACTGAACTGACTCAAAAAGGATTTCTTTGGTAGGCTTGACAATTAGACGTAAGGAGTTAGTTCCAAATATAACTTTTCTTTACAAGTGTATCAGTCAAGTTTTGAGTCATACTTGAAGAAGTGTACACGACTGATCATTGCTGAATGAAAACTGGAGAGTTCTATAAATGGCAAACTGGAGATTGGTGAGAGCTGCCTCAAAGGGGGCAAGTTTGCTCAAACTAGTCATTTCCCAGTTTGTAATGTCCCCCCAAAGGGCCCTAATGTATGTTACCAGTGGAATGCATGGCAGAAAGGCGTGTGATGGAGTCCTTCCAGTCGTGCTGTGCAGCGCACACATCAGCTGCAGATTGTCTTGCAGACCACCACTGATGAAAATGATTCACAAGTCTAGAGTAACTACACAGTGTGCAAAGCATGACGTTAATATGACTTGGTTTTCATCAGTGATATTAGAACTGTCTGAAGACTAAAATTCCCTAAAAGCTGCAGTTGTTATAAGTAACATTTTAACCTTTTATTTCTGACTCTCACCTTCAAATGCAGGAGGGTTTGTACAGTATAAATTTCATACATTTTATTTTACTTAAAATTTAGGTTTATTTCTTAGTCGGAAGTAGAAAGGAAGGATAGTCCAAGACCTTAGCAGTACCTTTTCAAGCAAAAAGCATATATTCTCTACATGACAGAACATTGATTAAACATGTTGAAAATATGGTGCAATTAAAAAAATCTGATTGCACCTTCAGGGCAAAACAAAACAATGTACGATGTACAAAACCTACTGAATACTATCTATCCAGATAATCAAATTTAGTCATGTTAAAAAAGGATGTCGGAGAGTTCTAGGCTGAAGCGTAACTTGCACAGAATTGCAAAGCCTAAATGTTTTTCTTATCCTTTTTCCCCTCCAAGGATTTGCTGTGAGTCTTCAAGTGATTCTGTCGCATCCAAAAGCCGTATTCAAGCGGCGCGGTTCTCAGCCGGGAATGCAAGAATCTGATTTCCTGAAACAGATAACGACAGTGGAGGAACTGGAGCCAAAAGCAAACAACTGCACAAAGGTACTGATTTCCACACTTAGTAAAGAGATTCTGGATCATCTCTGTAGATGCCTGTACTAACACAAATGTAATTTTATAGGTTCTTGTATGGCACACGCGAACAGAAAAAGTGAATCTAGCTAATGAGCCAAAATACCACCTGGACACAGTCACCATTGAGGTATGATGTGGAGATACAGTTACACAGAAGTACAGTACAGTGGATGTGTCAGAAGGTGTTTGAATTCAGCCAGTTAAACAGCCTGCTTCTGTGTGAAACCTTTTAACAGGCATCTGATGGACTCCTGTGGAAGCAAAAGGAAGCTGTCAGATACTCTAATAAGCAAATCAAGTGGGTGTGCTTCGTTCTAACTTGTTTGCATGCATTTCTGAACTCTCGTCTTAATAAACTGACACTTACCTTTGTTTTAAGGCTCTTTCCACATAGTAAAATGAATCTAAGAGAAATCTGGCTGCACTGGAGTATTTTCAAAATCACCATTTATGTATATACTTTTTGTATTTATCCAGCTTAATGGCATAATTATAAACTGGTTTTAACTCACAAACTACTGATCTAAATATTTGCATAAATGGATCCTCCTCCAAACTGAACACATTTGCCTTCATGAAAAGTAGACTTCTTGAAGAAAGAGCGGTCAAATAGGTAATACAACAATGAAATAAAAACCCACAACCACTTACGGATTTATCCTTTTAATATTGGGAAATAACATTTTATCATTACGAGGCACCATAAAATGTAAACACAAATCACTGTCATAAACCTGGATATCTCTGCAAGGAAAAATACATGTGCTCACGCCGAGGTACCTTGTGTACATACTGTGCTGTGAGTTCTCTGCATTAATACTGTGTGCATGCCTCGTGAGCTGGATTGGAGACTTCGTCACAGCTCGTTTTTAAAAGAATAAACTATTGATTTGTATAACTACAGTAACATCCAGGTTTATCTTCCTTTCCATAACCATATTCCCTGTTATGCACACCATAGGAACATCACAGTGAAATGTATGATGAAACAAAATTTGTTTGATACACTAGAAAACATTGCTCAGTGATACATTTACATTCTATTTATATATGATTAAACATTTGTTCATACAGTACCTTCTACAGGATTACTGGGTAATTTGGGAGGTCAGGGTTCATATTTTTGAATATTACTAACATGATAGCTACGTTCCTTATATGCAAACATTTGATCTAAAATTTTGAGGGAAAAAAAAATCAGTATGTGGTTAAGCAGCTTCTTAAATACATGGTCTATGAAATCATATGCACTGTATGAAAAGGCTGCCAATGATGTATAAATGTATTCTTGATCGGCTTTTCACTACATCAAATTGAAATCAATATAGACCACAACACGGTCAGTCAGTTATATTCTTAATCTGAACAGCTGGGGGAAAAAGAAAAAGAGTATGTACATGGAAGGAACAGCAAAAGTAAATGCATTTGAACAAGGAATGTTAGGTGGCTGTTCTGGGTGAGACTTCTGTTGCAACTTTCATTTCCACAGTTGTGTGCTGAGAGTCTGACCAGAGGAGCTTCCAGTCCATCCTGCCGCTGTGCTGGGGGGCTGGCCAAAGCCCATCACACTGCTGGAACTGCTGAGGTTCATTCCAGCCATTTGCTGATTCATCTGGGAAGCACACAGACACACACACACACAAGCCCGGTTAATGCTGGTGCTGGAACACAACACGCTGTGAGCCACAAAGCAGTCAATCATGCCTCCAACTAGCAACCCTGCTAAAGTATGTTTTCCTAAAATTCATATTTCTCATTACATAAAAACATTGACTCAATGTAAGTTTCTAAGCGTTTTTCCATATAGCAGCTTTTTCTCAGTCACCATTAGTCATCAGGTGACTGGGCTGTGGCACTTGGAAGCCTGACGTTGAGTCTGAATAAACACTCCGCTAGTGAATTTATAGAGCATGTGACACAGGAAGGAGTCCGATGTGTCCCAGTTGAAGAGAGCTTGCTTTCCCATTTTCAAAGCTAACCAACAAAACTGTGATAAAAGAAACACTGAAGCAAGTAATACAGCCTTGTCTACATCTGCAACTCCAGATGTTTTTTGTTCCAGCAATATTTCTTTGGAGACCTCATAATCTTGACTGTATGAGTTTTTATAGAAATTGTCCATTTAGGTGGTAATCAACAAAGACTGAGGTGGATTTATAAATTGGAGTATCACCTAAATCTAACCATTCTTGCTAAAGAATCTACTCAAGATACTATGATTTCTTCAAAACAAGTGAAATCATTCACATGAAATTAAAGACAACACCTACTTAAAGGTGGGAAGGAGTTCAAAATTCAGCCCACGCCAGGAATGGTGCAGAAGTATTTATACTCTCTACAAATACTATCTAGTACTACAGTTTTCAGTGCTTAATGTAGAAGTATTCTTCAGGTTAATCTCCCTTGCCTTCTGAAAAAGGAACGTGGACGGACAAGCCAGAACTCAGCTGTATAGACAGAAGAGAGATGTTCAGCAAAAGGGCATTTGGAGCAACTAATAACCAGAGCTGATGAATGAGGGTGTTGGATAAGCAACATTAGATTCAAGTTAGAGACACCATTAGGTAAAAACCAGAGTTCATGTAAACATAAGCAAACAATACTCGGTTGCAAAATGAAACTGAAACTGGTGGGAAAAATTAAGTAAACTGCAAACTAGTATTTCAGGGTAAAACTCAGCCCTGCGTGGTTCTACATGTGTGCCTGCAAAAACAACCACCACTGAACATGGGCATTTGAAAAAAAGCAGATGAAAGCATGGTTTTGCTAGTTGTTAATCTCTTTTGGAGCAGAATTCTTAGGAAGCAGACTCTATAAAGCACGCTCTTCCCCTTTCAGCTGTTCACAGTTCCCCTACAGACTGGGGGATGGCTGCAAGCTGGTAACACCTGATGCGCCAGGAGTACGGAAACATGTTAAGAGCTTGTTTTCCGAGCCAACCTTTAATATATATTTAATAAGCATGATTTTAATTTCAAAACTGATATGGGTCTTTTTAAACCTAGATAGCTTGAAAAAGACTTGGCAGTAAATCCACAACTTTTTTTCAATTTGACATTTTGAAATTCTCACCTTTTACAAACTATTTTTCAAAGCAGAATGACAGCCTGGTCTATCCACGTAAGAAATCTTGCTCACCTTCATAAATGTTCACACCACAGGACTGAGCAGAACAGTGAAAATTAACATAATCCAATCTGAATAAGTCACTACGGTTCACTTCCTGAATTACTAGAGTGAGCAGCAATGATTTATTATATTGTTCTCATAATTCAAATGACAGTATGAAAAAAATAGTTATCATCCAAACTGAACTGTGAGAGAATCATTTAGGTTTCTTTTCCTCCCCCTCAATACACTCTCAAATACCTGATTTCTAGATGTTTCATTGGATAATGTACAAAGATAGTACACTAACTAACACTAGCATATGGTTTAAGTGTACACTAACACTTTTAGAGAACCTTTTAAACATGTTTAAGAAATTTAAAAACTTAGCACAGAAATGCTACAGATAAATAATAGATTAGCCTAAGCAAATTATTTACAGAAGAAGGTTAGAGTGCCCAGCACTCCACATTCCCCTGAAATTTATCTTGAAGTCTGTAAAAGAAAGTATTGATTGTTAATGACTGTCCTCAAGCAATTACATTGTGCTTTTATTTATACGGCAGTGGTTACATTTCAGTATTTTGTAACTACAGCTAAGCTAGCTCTGTACCTGGCTAGTTCAGATGCCAGGGTGAGAGCAGCTACTGAGGCAGAGGGCTGACTTTGCTCTACTTTGGCAACATTTATTCTCTGCTGAAGTATCAGTTACCTAGAATTGAATTATCCACTGATTTTTTAACATGGTCCTCTGAGCAGTTCCTAGTCCGGCAGTCTGTAACTTGCCCACACCGCTACTTTCCTCCTACAGCCTACACTGTGTATCTGCAAAGCAGCATCTTCTCTAAAGCACTCTTGTCTGGAATAGCAAGTCTTTACCTGAGAGAGGTTCCATTGAGCTTGCTGGCTTTGTTGCAATCCATACTTATTTTGTGGCGTGGCCATCTGTCCCACCATTCCACCTTGAGGTCCAACGACATTTTGAGGAAGTCCCATCACACCAGTTTGTGTAGTACCAGTAAATCCATTGGGCATTCCCATTCCTACCATCACACCTGTGCTCTGTCCCATGACTGGCACCGATTGTCCCATCATGTTTGCCATCATCCCAGTTGCTGCAGGCACAGGGACTCCCATGGATGGAAAGCCTTGAAAATGAGTTGGTGGTTGTGTGGTAAATGGCATAGAAGACGACCCCATGAACATACCTGCAGCAGAGAAGAGAAGATACTAGCAAAAACATTTTGTGATGTTCTCCCCCATCACTTAAGTCAGAAGGGCACCACACTAATTTTAAAGGATAACTTTGTCACATTATACATCAGTGCTGGTTTCTGGTAAAGGCAAAAAATTGCTTACAAACCCTCCAAGGGACTTGCCACCAGAGGTTAACTACCAAAAGGAGCCTGGCAAATCCCTGTGGTGAACCAGAATCTTTTAATGGCTGTATTGGAGGTCTTTGCTTTCCCACCAAGAGAGCTGAAATCAAGATAGGACCTCTGTCCTGATACTGGCAGCCTCCTCTTCACACAGTGGAGACTCACACCTCAAGTGATGAATTAGAGCAGAAGCTGAATTTACAAATCTTTCAGTAGATTGTATATTTCATAATTTGAACAGCTGTAAGTAAAATCACATACTGTTTAGGTTTTTTTTCTTTGCTTCTGCATTACGTTCCTTTCTCATTTTTATAACTGATAAAAATAAAAATCTCCATTTTAATATAGGTAGCAGGTAGCCAACTGTAGTTTCATACTTGTAGGAGATAACTATTCTAGGTAAAGCTTACAATAGGACCATGTGGAAAGCTTTGCAAAATTATTTACCCGGAGCATTTTGCTGCTGCATGGTTCCTGTGCCATACAGTGACAAGATGGAGTCTTTGGAGAGCTGCTTCTTGGCTGACTCTTCGGATTTTGTTGTTTGCTCAGTGAACAGATCAAGATCCCCGGATGCCGCAGACAAGGTGGCAGCTGCTGGTTTAGTGGAAGTGCTCTGGGAAATAAAGGTCAAGACAGACTACTGAATGAAACCTGCTAAAGGTGTGACATTAAATATTTACTGCACAGCCTCACTCCTGAACCAAGTTAACCTCAGTTCATCTACAGAAGTTAACTTTAAGTAAATAAGGATTTAAAAGGATGTGGTATGACCAAAGAAGGACCACCAGACCGAATGGAGATTACAAGGAAAACTAAATCCACAGCTGGCTCCAGTGTATACACATACAGATTATTCTTTCCTGTTGCTCCTATATTTTTCATCAGTGAGAAGCATAAATCATGAGCTGTAGTTAAATTATGAAAAATAATTAGGAAATCACAAGGTGATTGCAATTCACATCTCATTAATCCTCATGTAGGCAGAATAGATGAAAGAAGAGCTAAAACAAAAGATGAAGTGAATT